TCAACTTTGCTTCTGCTGCTTCTGGTTATTATGAAAGGACTCCTCAACTTTATGTTAGTAATTTCTTTGTTCGCCCTTTTAATTTTGTGTTAATTTGATAGCTTTAGGCTTTAGCTATTATAATATAAAATTATCAAATTATTTTTTTGTTATATTATAATAATTATATTGTAATCACTATAACTAGTAAAGTGACAAAACTGATTTTTGGAGTAGAATCAATATTTCATTTGAGTCAGGGTAGACTGTCTATATCATTTCTCTAGCTGTGAACGAAATGTTTTTTGCACTGAGCTACCTTTTTTTATTGCTCAAAGTATATATATGACCAAAATGTCAAAATTTTGGCACCGGATAAACGTTTTTTTTATAAAATAGGGAAAAGTCTCAAATATTTCATTGAATTTTGTAAAAATGCTCATCTATGCTATCCGTTAAAAGTTTGGCTTATCTATGTCATTTCTGTTTGACAAAAGATTCATCCATGCCATTTTTTGTTTACTGAAAACAGTTCCGGTTCTGATATTATGCTATTAGCCTGTGTTCTTCCTACTAAATTCACTACTTTTGCTTGCCATTCCCTGTAATATTGTAGCTGTTGTGCCAATGTAAGTGCACGCTGCAAATTAAACAGCATACACCATTCAGAATTTCATTCAGGTTTATTCACATAAGGCCACTCAGGTTTATCAGAAGTTTGGGGTTCGAGTCCTTTAAGTAGAAAAAAAATCTAGTATAAAGTGGCACGAATCCAAATTAGTTGAGATTCCAAAGTGGATACCGAACGGAATTAATGAAAGATAAACCAAAAACAACATTTAATGATTTCATTTTATTTTTACAGGGGAAATGCTCAAATATGCTATTAGACTTTGAGAAAATTAAAGACCGGCGCAACTATGTTATCCGTTAAAAGTTTGGCTCATCTATGCCATTTTAGTAACAAATAACGGCCTGAATTCAAATGAGTCTTTTCTCAAACAGAAATGGCATAGATGAGCCAAACTTTTAACGGATAACATAGTTGCGCCGGTCTTTAATTTTCTCAAAGTCTAATAGCATATTTGAGCATTTCCCCTGTAAAAATAAAATGAAATCATTAAATGTTGTTTTTGGTTTATCTTTCATTAATTCCGTTCGGTATCCACTTTGGAATCTCAACTAATTTGGATTCGTGCCACTTTATACTAGATTTTTTTTCTACTTAAAGGACTCGAACCCCAAACTTCTGATAAACCTGAGTGGCCTTATGTGAATAAACCTGAATGAAATTCTGAATGGTGTATGCTGTTTAATTTGCAGCGTGCACTTACATTGGCACAACAGCTACAATATTACAGGGAATGGCAAGCAAAAGTAGTGAATTTAGTAGGAAGAACACAGGCTAATAGCATAATATCAGGAGGAATCCATCTATTAAGTGCAGGAAGCAGTGATTTTATTCAGAATTACTATGTTAATCCAATGCTCAACAGGATCTACTCACCTGATCGATTTTCCGATATCCTTATGCAGTCTTATACTACATTCATTCAGGTATTTTTTCCCCTCTCCTCTTCTTGTGTGTACTAATTTATTCGTGATCTCTAAGGAGATGTATGAGGTTAAAATTAAATCTCATGTATGGTTTTGTAGTAGTGAGATGTTGTTATTGACTATGATTATCTAACAGTTCAAGTAGAATTGATATTGTGGAAGCTCAGTCAAAATATGGTTTTTTGGGGGCTCTATGAAACATCCTTGAGACTTCTGGTCTTATGTTTTCGACACATATTGGTGCACTTGGCATGAAATTTGTAGGCACCACTTATCTATAGAAAATGCTCATAAGTATACTCAGATCATACTGAAACTAACACATGTTCTATTTCAATTTCGATTGAAATACAATCGATATTAACATCAACAACAATGTATGAAACACAGAACCTTTATGGTATGGGAGCAAGGAAGATTGGAGTAACAACTCTGCCACCAACAGGTTGTTTGCCAGCAGCAATTACTTTGTTTGGTAGAGGAAGCAATCAATGTGTTGCAAGATTGAACCAAGATGCTGTTTTCTTCAACGCTAAGCTGAATCGGACATCAGAAAGTTTGAAGAGCAGACTTCCAGGCCTCAAACTTGTCGTCTTCGACATCTATCAGCCTCTCTTAGATATGATCACTAAACCTACAGATAGTGGTAATTTCCTCAAACACATTTTCTTTTTTCATCTCGACTATATTGATCAAATATACTGTCGCGTTGTTCAGTATTAAAAAGGAAAATGTGTTAGAGAATATAATTAACTATTAAAAGTGTGCTCTCATAACAACTTAAAGCTTTTAGATGAGATGGTCACACACTTTAACATGGTATTAGAGCAGACAGAGGTCCTGAGATCAATTCAGGTCTGCTTTTAGATGAGATAGTCACACACTTCAACAGAATGTATCACATTTTCAGTTAACAATCTGCATTTGTTAATTCCCTGCAGGATTCTTCGAATCGAGGAGGGCTTGTTGTGGAACTGGTACACTAGAAACGTCGTTCCTTTGCAATGTAAGGTCTATAGGGACGTGCTCTAATGCGACAGATTACGTCTTCTGGGACGGATTCCATCCTTCTGAAGCAGCTAATGAGAAATTAGCTCAAAGTCTACTGGAGCAGGGCTTTGATCTCATCTCTTAAGTGTTGTATGGTTGCAAAAAAGTTTACTTCATTCAAGTTTAAGCTTATATATTACTAGTAAGTCAGTCTTTGTGGTAAAGTAGTTAAAAACTATTTGAAGGTTACTTCATCTATTGTATGTTAAATAATAAACAGCAGAAAGATTATTAGTAATATATATATATATATATATTTTTTTTTTTTTTTTTTGAGTTTCCACACTACACTCTTGTCTCTTCATATCATTGAATCAAAGAAAAGTAATTTCAAAATTATTTACCCAAAACCTATGTTGCTCGGACTCTTCAAAAATGTCAAGGGATGCGTGTCGGATTCACTAAAAGTAGTGTATTTTTGGAGAATCCGACATGGGTGCGGCATCAAAAGTGAAGAGTCCGTGCAACTTTGCCCAAAACTACTAGGTTCTGTTGAACTCGTACTTTTCATGCTAGATCCGCCCGTACCTACATTTGCTCTTGAGAACCAGGACTCCTCTCCACCCTTCCATTATCCAAACCACAAGATTCTGAATGTATTTTCATTCCTTCAAACAGATTTAGGTTTCTCAATTATATCATTAAATTAATTATCAAAATAATGTTATTGCGTGATTAATTGGTGATAGGAAAATATTGATTCATAACCAGTTAAATTCCATTGATAATGTAAAAGTCACTTACACTAATATATAACTTAAGTATACCTATTTTTTCATTCTCAATCAAAGGTCGGATTCAAACAACACATGCTCGATACGGGACGGCATCTTTGTTAGAGAACACCTTACCTCTAATAATATGGGACTTTGAATCTGAATTTAGTCAAGTCTCAATATGAATATCAGACACCTAATTATTCCCCACAAAATATTAAGTCAACGTGCCCGTTGGGGACTTGGCTTAATGCCTCTAAATTGAAGAGTCCGTGGCGTATAAGCTGGTCATATTAGATCCTCTTGCCATTATGTATACACAAATTTATGGATATAGATTAATGGGATAAGGTATGAGTACCCCTAGACTATGACCGAAATCACAGAGACACGTCTTAACTAAACTAATGTCCTATTATCCCATGAACTTTTTTTTTGATAATTTTGTTCACCTTTTTGACTTACATGGCATCCAAATACCTCTCACGCGCCTCAACTGCGTGGAGTCACAGAGTATGCCACATAAGCCAAAAAGTGTACGAAATTACAAAAAAAAATGAGTTCAAGGGTAATAGAGCCTTAGTTTAATTAAGGTGTGTCTCTAGGATTTCGGTCATAGTCTAGGGGTACTTGTGCCTTATCCCTAGGTTAATTTCAATCATTTTAATACAAAATGGTTTCCGAAACTAGTTAACCCCTAATGACGGGATAGTTTTTTTACACGGTTGATGTAATTTAACATGTTATAACAAATTATTTACCATTACCAATATGTGCGAGAAGAACCCTTAATTGAGAGTGATCATCTGAGATATTATCTCCAATTTCAAATAATGGGTAATTGCTACCAAACAATTTTGCAACAATAGCATGCCATTTTAATGAATCTCGAGGGATTTGATAACCTTTTGAATGTGTTTCTGATTTGATAAGCTTAAAGAGAGTCAAATCTTTCTCAAACCACCGGACAGAGATGTGGAAATAGCTTCTGATTAGACTTCGCCTAAAACAAATCCCTCGCTTTGATAAGAAATATCTGAGTAAAACAATCCTTGAGTTGAGGTAATATTCAATTTTGAGGATTGGCTTTGCGTTATTTTGCAATTATATTCATGACTCAATAGGATTGTGCGAATAAAATGTAAACACAAAAAAGAGACTGTAATCCCACAAGAGGTGTATGTTTGGGAGGGTGAGATGTATGCCCTATCTTTGTGAGGTGGAGAGACTGTTTACGTCTACGATGATAAATCATATTACCAAAAAAATAAAAAGTTACTACAACAAATCAGTAGAAGTAGAATTAGCATACAGAACTACAATATCATCTGCATTTGAATTATGAACTAAGGTACATGTAGCCTAATATCTCCTACTTCCCAGAAATCTTGGAATTCACAAATGCGGAAATTATGCAACGACGCCCTTTAACCAAAACAACTATGTTGTTCGGATTCTCCAAAAATGACACTACACTCATTTAGATTCTCACATTATCTGCATCTGAATTAAGTTCTCATAAATGCAGAATTATGCGCGAACTTTCATAAACCAAATAGTTTTGTTGCTCGAATCATCCAAAAATACCTCTGCATGCCATTATATTTAAAGGATCTATCACTGAGTATAACAATATTTTTGTAGAATCCGAGCAACATAGCCAAATAATAATACAGTATACTTCTTGTGAAGTACTAGTCATCCATCCTTAGTATCATGGACTTGAATGTTTAGCCTTCTAAGCCAAATGGAATGAAGAATCATATGAAAAACATCGTATCTTCTCGGAGGAAAATTTACCTCGAAATGCCTTCTAACTTGAAGGCCTCTTTTCTGCATTCTGATGTACTGAGTTTGAGATATTGACATCAAGATCTTCTTCAGATTAGGTATATCCGTCGAATTCATTTGAACAGCAAAACTTTTCCAGTTCAAAACATCGTTAAAAGGCGCTACATAATGATCCTTCAACAGTACTGGTACACACCCCATGTAAAGTGCCTCAACCATTCTCGGGCTAGCTACTTCATAACCACTCGGGCAAATACAGAACTTGCTCTTTCTAATCATCCCATAGTACGACATGTTCTTCGGAAGGTACTCGTGAATTTGCACATCCGAATCATCGTTCTTTCCCCACAGCTCCATTAGCACTTGCCTTATGTAGCCATGGATTCCTCCCGCATAGAAAACTAAAACAGAACGATGAGATGGAGACGGACCTCCAATTAAGCCGTCCATCTTACCTTGAGGGAGATAGATTTCTGGCAAGGATACATCCTTGGTAGGATCAAATCTTTCGGAGGTATTTGCATTGCATAGTACTCGTATCGAGTTCTTATACAAGTAAGGAACTGCAAAGGAAATCGTAGGAGCCTGCAGTATGACAATTACATAAGAAGAAGTGTCTCTCCCATAGACATCAAACAAAACAACCTTGTAACAAAATTTTGCATAACAAGATATCATGAGTTACGATTCTTAACAGAAGCGAATCCAGGATTTGAAGCTTATGGACTCCTACAGTAATCATATGTACCTAAAATTTTCAATACGCCAGATTCTTAGCCCATTTAAACTATTCTTTTAACAGTCATTTCAGTTTATTTTTGACATTCGTTAACATATATGTGAAAAATTATTAAATTCTTAACAGATTTCAAAAGTATAATGTGCTATAGTCTCAACGGTAAGAACTTAAGATTGAACACATCAAGTTTACATTCTGAATCCGTCTCTATTCTGATTACTTACCCAATCATGGCAAGCAAGCATGAAGTGATCAGCTCCAAGGCTTCTGTTCCAATAAGGGTATTTTCTTGATATACCATCAATATAATCTGCTGCTGTATTCTGCATAGGACCCCATGACCGAGAATTGACAACATAAACATAGCTGACAATCGATAAGACACTGAACGGGAGGAAGTAAACGTGTGCTTTCTCAGGATCATTCGTCCGAAACTTGCTAATCTCTATGTGATGAATCAGAATTCCTTCAATTCCCAGGATTCCTTCACTAGCACTATAGTGAAATACAGGGGGCTCACCTTCCTCGTATACGTAAATCTTGAAATGTTTCTCCATTTCCATGTAGCTTCTGCAATACCTCAAGTAAAGAATCTTTAATTCCATTGTCAAAAGCTCAATACAATCTTTTGTTTCAGTTCATTCTACTCCCTCCATCTAATTTATGTGACAATCTTTGGTTTTCACTTCTTGAGATTCAAACTGCGTGAACTTCTAGTTTTTCATCATATTGACATGAGGAAAATCCTAACCTATAGTACTATTCGTATAGTTCTATAAAATTTAATTTTTAAAAATATTGATGATTTAATCAAATTTAGTTTCAAAGATCACACTACCAGAAACAAAGGTTTTTCCCATCACAAATTAGTAGAAAATTTGTGTTATAAAACATGATTTTCTCACTCATTTCCTACCGAACAAGCTCATTAGAAAAATGAATGTTGGAAAACAAATTCTCACTGCAAAAAATGGAAAACCCCCTAATTTTTTTGTATGAAAATTTACCATTTTTTCTTTTCCCATCTAAATAATTGCGGGGATAGCTACTGAACATTTTTCACTGGAAATTTCAATGGGAAAATAGTGACCTTTTTTTGGTAGCGTCAGTCAAATTCACTGTGACATAAATTGGGACGGAGAGAGTGTATACTCAAAAGTTCAAATCTTTAAAAAGTTAACTAAACATACCTGTGAAAAGCAGTGGGGTTCCAGTAAATTGGACCAGTAGGAACATACTCGGGATCATCAAAAGTTTGATTTTTACTTTGAGCTTCTTTTATAGCAACTCTTACTCTAACAAGACCAGCTTCAACTTTCTCTAAATTGCTTATCAACTTTTTTTCTAATTGAACAATTGGAGGACTAATATTCTCATGATCATTCTTGGCATAAACATAACTTGTTGAACTTTTTAAGCCAAAATACAATGAAACTAAAATCAATGGTATTGCAATTAACCACAAAACTTTGCTACTACTAATACTAGAACAAGAAGAAGAAGAAGAGTCATCATCATCAGTAGTAGTAGAATCCATTTTTTCTTGTTTTTGTCACAGTTTTGGCCAAATTTTGTGTGGAGAGTTGCAAGTGTTTTTTGTTTTAAATGAAAAAAATAAATGGTGGGGGGTAGGGGGTGGGGTGAGGGATGGACTTGTTTTAGAAAATTCAAGGTGTTTGGCAAAGTCTGTAGGGAAAAAATAAGTGTTTATGAGTTGCGACCACAACAGAAGTTGTTTTCGTAAGAAGCTAAGAAAAAGGAAAAAAAAATCGAATATTGACCAAGCACAAAATACTGAAGTAATATTTAAATTAATATGTCAAACATAAATAATAGACTGCTATTCTTTAAACTATTGACCAAGCATAAAATACTTATTGAAATAAGTAAATTTTTAAAATTTGAGCATAAAAAGAAAATATGTGGTGATTAATATTATTATTATTATTTTTGCAAAATATACTTTAAAAATAACAAATATAGAAATGTGAAAGTGACATGAAATCAACTATCATGTGAAATGTCTAAATATGTCAAAAAAAAGATATTACGTGAAATGTTCATATTCTTTCATCCTCAAATAAAATTGGCACTCAATACCAAATACATACTAGCAATGCATGTTGAGATCTTTAGACTTTAATGATCACACTATCTCATTTAAAGAGCAAAAAGTTAGTTCAACCATGCTATAGCCATACTATATGCTATATACTTCATGAGTATAATATAATAACATTAAAAAATCAGTGATTTTAATTTGTTAAAAGATATACTACAATACTACATATTACAATAACAATTTATCCAATTAAATCTCATAAGTGAGATCTGGTGAGGATGAAATATACACAAACTTTATCACTACTTCGTGAAAGTAAAAAAACTATTTTCGAAAGACCCTCACCAGCATTGTTAACCATTTTAATAATTAATAAATTAAATCGTTAAAGCATAATTACCAGTCCGATACGCAAGACTACTATTTGACTTTTTGTGGGTAAAATGAAAGCGAAGGAAGCGGTCATATTATGGGGATCAAATAGACCATGACGTACGTTTCATGCCCTGCGTCTTTATTTCCATTTTATTTACATTCTCCATGAAAAAAAATCATATAATATTAAAAGTTGTTCGATCTAAATTTTTTTTTTTTTGTAGATGTTTATCTTTTTATTGAATATATAAAATTAATTATCATCTTGTATACTTCTATATCAAAGGAAAAAAAAATTCTCGTGTTTTTTTCATGTTTTTAAAATATTTTAAATTATTATATTATTTCCCAATTATTTAGATTAAATCTTTCTATATTATTTAATAACAACTTCATTGAATTCCAGAAATCTTCTCTGTTGCTTTATCTACAGATCTTGGGCATCCTGCACATGTAGACCATTTATTAAATTAAAGTCCGCATACACCCCACTCTTCCCCCGACTTCACTTGTTAGGCTATACTAGGTATGTTATCGTTGTTGATTGTGTTTGAGTTAAATGCTGGCTCACTTGGTTGTGATAAAGTTAACTATACTGGGTATGTCATTGTTGTGATTGTGCTAGAGTTGAACACTAGCTCAATAATCATAGTAAAGTGATTGTTGAAAGCAAAAAAAATGCAAATAAAGTGGACTGAAATTGATAAAGCTCAATAATCATATTACAACGACATACCGTAGTCACACAAGTGGAGTTTGGGGAGAATGGCATATACAGAGTCTTATTTAACCCTACATTGTGAAGGTAGATAAGTTGTTTCTGATAAACCATCGCCTCAGTAACCCAATAATCATATCAATGGAATAATATAATTTACACGAATTTGTCAAGACTTTCAGGTAATATATGGTGACATAATGCCTCAACTATACATGGGCATAATGAGTTAAGACACAACATAAGAATATACCTGTAGCACTATAATTCTACAATATATACTAGATTTCTTAGTGAAAATGAACTGGTTAAAGCCCCTGTAGAAATATCACAATTTGACTAACAAACTTTGACAATTTTATAGTCCTAGACAATAGCCATATTCCCCATTCTCACCTCCATTGTCTCTTTCTTTTCCTTGTCTCTCTTAATTTGCTCGAAGTTTACAGTATCAGCGGTGGCTTTAGATCGTGCATCAGGCACACGAGGTTCCAAATTTCTGGGGCCTGTGTTGATCCATGGATGAAGAAGACACTGAGCTGCAGTTGGCCGTTTCTCCGGATCAAAATCAAGTATTGGGACCAGGAAATCAGCCATGTCCTTTGCATCTTGCTCGCTGAATTCGTATTTCTCTACGAGGACCTTATCTAACGGCCAAAAGCGTAACCGTCTGATGTGCCTTAAGTCACCGTGTCTATTGAAGAACTCACGTGAATAGCGGCCACCCAAGGCAATCTGGAAAGGACATAACATGTTCATAAAATGGCGGCTACATACAAGTGTAAGAACTTTGAAGTGGTTAAATGTACTTTCTCTTACTTTGCGAGGCATTGTTCCTAGAAGCTCCATCATTAGTGCTAGGTGATCCTGCCAAACTCAAGAAAGTTTTCAGTTAATATATGTCGTCTATGCTCAGTGTTATATTACGTATTAAATTACAATAACAGATTTGGCAAACGACAAAAAAAAAAGAAACATAAGTTTATATCCAGAAAGAAACTAGAAATTAATCATAAAAAGGATCGAGTTATGAGTCTATCCAAAATAAAGATCATCTATGCAGTTGGTCAAGTTATATTTTGATCCCATGTCTTGTAATTTGAACACGGAGTCCATTAAGAGATAACATAGTCTATTTTTCGAACAAGAGATAACTTGGTCTATTTGTCGAACTCACCTTTCTTCTTTGACAACTTTAAGTATTGTTTAAAATCACAAAATATGAAATAAGCAACATGTGCACTCAACCCTTTGCACTGAAAGACGCTCACCCCAAAACTGAAACATGTATTCTCCTCCAGAATCCAGAATAGAAAAAAGATGCCTACCCTCCCCTGTTTAGAATAGTTACTTTATCAAATCTCCTTTAAAAATCTTTTGTTCATCACCACTCTCTTAAGTTCCTATACAACATTGTCATAACTGATATCAGCTATAGTCCATACCACTTCGCTCTTCTATTCCTTTTCTCATCTGACTGAAGAAGCCACATAGCCCTCGAGTTTTATTGAATTATAGATCTCAACATTGATGGAAAGTGGAATCCAATAATATCAGGCTTCTCTTTACTCATTTGCTATATTTCAAATAAATGACCACTTAAAGACAATGTAAAGAGAGAGATGAATAAAAGTGATGATTATCCACAATTCGAATAAAAAAAGGATCAGAGAAGCCAAAAGAGGGGAGATACTCTAAGCAGTGCAGAAAAAAGTAAAAGCATAATTTTGATTATAGCTCATGATCAAAGCATGTACTTTTTGTCAAACAAGATTTTATATGTAATCATTCAAATGAATAGCAAAGACATCAAATATCTCTATATTTTGATCTTCTTTTGTCAATTTGTTACTCAAAATATCGAATATCCAAAAGATTATATGATCTGTAATTTGAGCTTGATGTGGATTTCTGCAGAGAAGAACTGGCTGGTCTATATACGAAATTCCAGAAAAACAATAACGGGTGCAATAAGATCACGAGATGATTGCTAGACCTCTGGATATTTAAATCACTTTTTACTAGGATCCAAGTGGTATTGTAAAGCACAGACAAACAGAAGATTCTATATGCTAACCATTGAATCCAACATATCTTCCCTCCCCCTTACATCCACAAATGCAGCTAATCGAACAAAGATTTATCGGGTTCTAATTATAATTGCACTACCATCAGATTTTCTTAGAGCATACTAATTATCCCATTCAACTTTCAACACTTGAACTGCTGAGTTGACCAGACTTAGAGCATAAATGTTTGTTATATTTGACAATAGAAGAGCAAAAGTCAACAGGTCATCACGCAAAGAAGCAAGAAAAATGCACCAAATGCATATTAGACCACCTTTTTCATACAAATAACTACTGGCTTGTGCAAATACCAAATGCATTAAAGGATGTTACTCAACTATGTAAAGCTCAACAAAGTACTATATACCTTATCCAAATAAAAGAAGACACATAACATTGAATATGTATCAGTCCATAGCAAATTATCTTCAACAAGAAGGATTAAACATTTATGTATTGGCAGTGCCTATAAACTAAAGTAGGTGAACAGTTTTTTTAACCCATTTTTAGCCATTAGATGGATAAGCTCCCATGACTTTAAATATCATGCTTCAGGAAGAAACCAGATGAACTACAAGCAAACAAGTATCTCTAGACTCTAATACTAGAATATACTTGTCAAAAAGAGTTTTTTTTAGAAACTTCAGACAGGATAATATAATTATATAGTTCATAGAGAAAGAACAAACGAAATCAAGCTCCACCCCGTCTTTTCTCATTTAACTTCATATGTGGTTATTGTAATTAAATATAAAATGATCAGGCATCAGGTCGATACATAGTCCTCCCTTGAAACATAGAAACAAGACATTGGGACAAAATCAAAAAATGAAAATACAAACTAGTAACTATGAGGGAAGTAGTGCATTCATAATCTCATACCTCATCTCTATCGAAGTTGTCACCACTGTGAGGATCAAACAATACGTCACCAGTCGCAAGCTCAAAACAAATGCAAGCAAAGGACCAAAGATCTGCTGAGGTTGAATATTTAGACCCAAGGATAACTTCAGGGCACCTATACTGCCTCGTCTGTATATTATCTGTGAACTGTTTGTATGTCCAACAAGCATTCCCAAAATCAACCAATTTGCACTTTAGGTCCACAGACTCCAATGTCTTCCTCCTTCTAGAGCCACTGCCTTTCTTAGGACCCACACTTTCTTTCCCACTGGCTGTTGCAGCATCAGAGTTGGACAATCTATCAACGTTAGCAGAACCAACAAGATGATCATTTGGCAAATCTCCGTTTGATTGAGACGACTCAACAGCTGTATTCCCTGCAAAATCTTGAGCTGTTTCTTTGGACTTTC